TGGGCAACAGAGGAAGATTCTTGTCTCAAAACAGAAAAACACTATTTACAAAAACAAGTGGTGAGCCAGATTTGGCCCCCAGGCCATAGTTTGCTGACCCCCAAGTTAGATAATGGAGATGGTTAAGGGTCAGTTGCATGTGAGTGAGGACTTGGGAATCCTCAGAGCTAAGGTCTGGGAATTAGTATCATTAAAGAAAAACGATGTGTGTTACACACCCACTGTGCACAGGACGTTGTGATAGTCTGTACAAATGTCATTTAGTTTAATCTTCACTTTATGATATAACGATGTGTGTTACACACCCACCGTGCACAGGACGTCGTGATAGTCTCTGTACAAATGTCATTTAGTTTAATCTTCACACTATGATATAATGATGTGTGTTACACACCCACCGTGCACAGGACATCATGATAGTCTGTACAAATGTCATTTAGTTTAATCTTCACTTTATGATATAACGATGTGTGTTACACATCCACTGTGCACAGGACATCATGATAGTCTGTACAAATGTCATTTAGTTTAATCTTCACACTATGATATAATGNTGTGTTACACACCCACTGTGCACAGGACATCATGATAGTCTGTACAAATGTCATTTAGTTTAATCTTCACACTATGATATAATGATGTGTGTTACCCACTGTGCACAGGACGTCGTGATAGTCTCTGTACAAATGTCATTTAGTTTAATCTTCACACTATGATATAACGATGTGTGTTACACACCCACTGTGCACAGGACGTTGTGATAGTCTGTACAACTGTCATTTAGTGTAATCGTTACACTATGATATAAGTGTTATTCTCTGCATCTCACAGATTAGGAAAATGGAAATTCAAAAAAAGTGAGGTGATCATTCAGAGTCACCCAACAGTGAGTGGCAGAGCCGGGGTTTTTAAGCAGGTCTCTCCAACTTCAAGCCTAAGAGTTCTACTTGAAACCTGAAAGCCCTAGTCTCTGACCATGGGTGCTGCCCCCCTCCCACCCAGAGTCTCTTGAGAAAAGGATTAGGGACTCCTAAGCCCCAGAAATCCATATGAAGGGCTGGATTTCCATTGTTGTGCCATATGGGGAATTAGAAAAGACCCTGGATATCATACATGGAAAGCCCTGCACTAAGCATTTGGTGTGGGGTAGAGTGCAGTAAATGTTAGCTGAGATGAATGAGAACAATGATTTGAACACCAGTCTGGGGGAAGCCCACGGGATGCTGGGGCACTTCTGGATTCCAGAGGGATCCTTCGCCTTTTCAGTCTTATTTTCTCAGCCATAGACCTACTCTAGGATTGACACAGCCTTTAATAAAAAGTGTTCCTGCCTCCCATCTCCAGTTCCTGGTCCCTAAAGCTCACATTGACATCCCCATTTCCTGTAGCACAATTAGTGATTACCCATGCTGCCCCCTGCTTCCCACAACTGACCTGCATAGGACCAGGACACCATGAGAATTCCAGCAACTGGATAGTGAGCAGGCACACCTGAGAGCTTTGGAAGCATAGGCCAACGGCCCCGACCTGCCACAGTGACCAGACACTGAGCAACAAGGCTCCAGGTAATTTCCCTAAGATGATATAGTGAGGACACAGTGGAACCAAGGCTGGAGTCTCTCTGCCTGACTCCAAGGCCTACCCTCTTCACCTCTTCTTCATACAAGGCCCTGCCTGCGTGAGTGCAGATCCTTCACCCAGTCCTCACCAAATCCTGTTGATTCTATCTTTAAAACATAACTCGAATCCATCTTCTCTTCCTTGCCCCCACTGCCAAAACCCCTGTCCAGGCAGCCATCACCTCATACTCAACCCCCGCAAAGACCTCCCACTTTCATGCTTCCCCTCCCCACCCCACAGTCTTCACCCAGCAATAAAGTGATCTTAAAGCAGACATCAGATCATCTCAGCCTCCTCTTAAAGCTTGTTAGGGGCTTCTCACTCACTCATTCACTAAAACAAGATCAGCCCTCCATACCACGGCGCAGAGGTCATGTTTTTGTACTGCAGGTTGTGACCCATTCGAGAAATCAATCTAGTCAGTTGCAAATAGCACTTTTTTTTTTTTTTGAGACGGAATCTCACTCTTGTTGCCCAGCCTGGTGTGCAATGGTGTGGTCTCTGCTCACTGCAACCTCCCCCTCCCGGGTTCAAGCGATTCTCCTGCCTCAGACTCCCAAGTAGCTGGGATTACAGGCATACACCAACACACCCGGCTAATTTATTTATTTATTTTTTTATTTTTATTTTTGAGACAGAGTCTTGCTCTGTCACCCAGGCTGGAGCACAATGGCATGGTCTTGGCTCACTGCAACCTCCACCTCCCGGATCCAAGTGATTCTCCTGACTTAGCCTCCTGAGAAGCTGGGACTACAGGAACATGCCGCCACGCCCAGCTAATTTTTGTGTTTTTAGTAGAGACAGGGTTTCACTATGTTGGCCAGGCTAGTCTTGAACTCCTGACCTCGTGATCCGTCCACCTCAGTCTCCCAAAGTGCTGGGATTACAGGCACGAGCCACCACACCCAGCCACCTGGCTAATTTTTGTATTTTTAGTAGAGATAGGGGTTTCTCTTTGTTGGTCAGGCTGGTCTGGAACTCCTGACCTCAGGTGATCTGCCCACCTCAGCCTCCCAAAGCGCTGGGATTATGTGCATGAGCCACTGCTCCTGGCCAGCACTTTTTAAAATGAAAGTTGAGCACAAAAGAATAAAAAGTAGCAGAGTACCTCACACATAGTAAGGGTAAGTATTCTGTGAAACACGGGCTTGTGTTACATACATATTCATGTATGTCTATGTATGAATTCACAGCGGAACCCATGGTGACTGTGGGTCAGGATTCTGAAAGTCTTAACATCGCCTGCCCAGCCTCTGCCGCATCAGCCAGGCCAGCCATGTCTCAGGCTGCTCTTCCCGTCACTCTCTGCCCTGCCGTGCAGTCATCCCGTCCCAGTCCTGTGTCTGTCCTGCTGCAACGTCTGCATTAGCTGCATCCCCTGCCTACGGTGTTCTTTGTGTGCTCTGAGTGGGTAGCACCTCGATCTCTTGATCTGGTGATCCACTTGCCTCGGCCTCCCAAACTGCTGGGATTACAGGCATGAGCCACCTTGCCCGGCCTTTTTTACTTTTCTTTTCTCTTTTGTTTTTTGAGACAGAGTCTTGCTCTATCACCCATGCTGGAGTGCAGTGGTGCAATCTTGACTCGCTGCAACCTCCACCTCCCAGGTTCAAGTGATTCTCCAGCCTCAGCCTCCCGAGTAGCTGGGATTACAGGCACGTGCCACCACGTCCAGCTAATTTTTGTATTTTTAGGAAAGACAGGGTTTCACTGTGTTAGCCAGGATGGTCTCGCTCTCCTGACCTTATGATTCACCTGCCTTGGCCTCCCAAAGTGCTGGGATTACAGGCGTGAGCTACCACACCCAGCCGACTTCTACTTTTTTGCTTTGTTCCCTAAAACCACCTGAGTCAACCTGCCCTGGTTGAGAAGAATGAAGACTGTATAGGGAAGGGGGGTTTTCTGAGCTTCTCCTGCCCCAGTGGTAATGTTACTAGTATCTTACCCTTAGATTGCAGTAGTTTGAGGTCATTAACTACCTGCACTGTGCCATTAGCTATATCTATTGGTAAGTCAGAGAAGCAACCTCTCTGAATCACCCATACAATGGCATTTGGAATTTTTTGTTTTGGTTTGTTTTCTGTTTTTTGAGTTTTTTTGAGGCAGGGTCTTGCTGTGTCACCCAGGCTGGAGTGCAGTCACACAATCATAGCTCACTGTGCCTTCGAATTACTGGGCTCAAGCAATCCTCCTACCTCAGCCTCATGAAAAGCCAGGACTACAGGGGAATCCATTATGCCCAGCTAATTTTTTCTTTTTAATTTTTTGTGGAGACAAGGTCTCACTGTGTTGCCCAGGCTGGTCCTGAGCTCCTGGCCTCAAGTGGTCCTCCCACAGTGCTGATCTGATAGGCGTGAGCCACCACACCCCATTTTTACTACATGTAAATTTTTTTTTTTTTTTTTTTTTTTTTTTTTTT